TGAATAGCTACATTCTTTACCAGACTCATGTTATTCATAAATGTTACCTACTCTTCATAGTATTGTCTTCCGGTATTTAACTACTGGATTTTTATTTCACCTGGATTATTATGTTTTTTTTTTATTTTATCTTGCTTTTATTTGCAGTTTTATTTGATAATTAAAGTAAAAGAAACTTTTATTAAAATATAAAAATCGCTTTATTCCTTCTTTTTTTAATTAACATAAAATCTGAATTTATACTAAATTTATATCAGGCTGATTGGAATGTTCTTTTCTTAGAACAAAGGTTTATCTTTCTGAAAGAAGAGACAGAAAAAGCATACAATTGCCACACTTCTATTTCAATGGCAATAGAAGCAAACTACATTTAATGCATTTAATGATACCCCAGATTAGTTATGGTGTCATTTTATCAAAGACAGGACTTTAAAAAACATACCAATAGCAAGGGCAGATGATGAAAACATAACAAACTCAATAAACAATTTTTAAAAATGTTAAAAATAAAAAAAAAAAAAAAACTTTATCGAAAATTCTTTTTTGAATAATTAATATCTGCAAAGAAAAAAAAAGAAAGGAAGAAAAAAAAAAGGAAAGAAAAATTAAGATGCGCTAATTTTAAATAATATGTAATTAATACCTGAATGTGCAGTCATTAACTCTCAAATATTGAAAAATTCCAAGTCGTGCAAAAAATTACTGACCTTATATAGAGCAAATTAACTTTAAATAAATTTAAATGCAATAATTTTAATTTTTCTGCTAATTGTTAAATAACTGGTGCCGGATTAAAAATTGAAATAACCGGACTTAGCATCTGAAATCTAGAAGCTGATGGTTGAAGTTTAACTAAATTATATAAATTCGGCATGCATAATTTGATATTCAGCATCATTGAATAAGTCAGTAAAAATCTCTCAGGAAGAAGGGGGATAAATTCCCCTCTAGTGCCATGTTATATATATTTCTATAAAAGGAAATCCAATTCATTTCAGAATTCTAAAAAAAGATGCCATTCCTTTTTTAAAATGCTGTAATCCTTAAAAATGCTATAACTCCCTGAGTTTCACATGGGGACCACTATTTAAAAAATAAACATAAAAAATTGATATAACAAACAAAAGAATTTAGTAAGGGGGAAAAAATAATCCCCAATGGATCGGTCACTCTTCTGCTGGTGAAAAGAAAAGAAAGTTAAAAAAAAAAAAAAAAAGATTTTGAAAGGGTTAAAATTTAACGACCGCCTAAAAGGGCTCTTTTAAAGTAGTTCAAGATGGTTTGTTAACAAAGATTATCAGTGGAGATGGCCCAGATATAACTGTAAAACATTTTATAGGACTTTAGATGAATATGCATTTAGACTAGCATGGAATTAATTTTACATGCTGTTTACATATTTAAAATGTGAAAAAATATCTCATGTAATTCTATAAAAATATTTAATGTTTTTAATTAGATAAATCATGAATTAAATGCATTTTGATATATAGCAATCAGATTAAAAAAGTAAAAAAATAATAATTTTAAGAACTACATCTATTGCTTTTAAATATTTTAGTTTGTTAATTAATAACAGGTTAAGTATGGAAGAATAATATCATACGTTTCCCCGAATGGACTCGACAGAAAAGTAAAACAACGCAATAAAATGAAAGAACGCAAAATCGTGTTAGGAGACTAATAGTTCTTTTTGGCTAACAAGAATTTACAATTGAAACGCATTAATTAATTACATAAATGTTAACATAAGTTAAGATAGCTGTATAGAGTCTTCTTGTATGTTTCGAGATCATCAGCTGGTAAAACCCTATTGAAAGACGACTAGGTAGCGAAGTTTCGCTAGGTCCTGAAAAGAACAGATGACTGTATAAGAAGGTTATAATAACTTTTTATTTTAACTGAACTGAGCAAACGCACTCACTCGGTGCTCACAGTTTAACCTCTGCTTTTGGCTTAGTAGCTTAAACTGAAAAATAAGATTACAAGAAAGTAAGATTGACTACACGACTGGCTCCTACTTAATCTAAACCGCTGAACCCACTACACACAGCAAAGTTGAACCTAGAATATCAATATAATCTTAAAAAAAGTGGCTAGCACCAACTATGCAACTATACAAGGTTACTAAATCATACACTCGGCATAAACTCAGAACCAACTCGCCTGCCGCGAACTCTTAAAACTACTGCTTAAGTACTGTTTCCACCTCACTTAGATTTGCATATACGTCTTTAAATTTACATTCTGGCAGTAAATTGAAATCAGAAGGGAAAGGAAAGTTTCTTTAAACTAAAAATATTTGGTTAAAATAAAATCAGGTCTTTACAGCTGTCCCGACTACTCTCATATCCATTCGTTAAATAATACACCCAATCATTCCTACTATAAGCACAATTTATGTCAAAAATGGATTACAAGCTTAAACATAATACGTAATTATCTAAAATTACTAAAGATCATTTTATTTTTTTCCTTTGATTGTTAAATAGATGTTTGCCTTTTTTCACTTGATTAAATTTCATTTGGATTATAGCAACCCTTAAAATCTTACATATTCAGTTAGTTCTACCACATTCCAATACTTAGAACACTGATATAAATCTTATCAAATTACATAAGACATTATAATTAAACGAATTCCTTTTTCTTTAAAATATTTAACATCCGGTCATTAAGTACAATCCATTTTCTATTAACTATTAACTTAAAATTTAAATTATTAAGTCATTAGGTATAATAAGTAAGTCATTTAAGTATAACCAATTTTTTATTAACCATAAAATTTTTGAATTCCTTTTATGCCAATTAATTTGAGAACAAAATAAAATTACCATCATTGATAATAAAAAAAATTGTATAAGAATATAATGCAAAGACAATTCTGAACGGAAGAATGCGGTTTGCATATTGCCACTATCCACTGCACGAAGTTCAGGGTCCTCAATTTCAGTTTCGCCGGCTTGAAGAAGACTGATACGAAATAAAGCAAATCCAGCTCATTCACAGCTGTCGAAAAAGGTGAAAGCAAGAAGATACCGAAGACCAAAGATGCGTCCAGGTCTTAAACAACCGCCTCGAAGCTAAGTTGATCGAGGAAAAACATATCTTTTCCTCAATAGAATACAAGCTTCTCAATACAATACACTAAAAGACAAAATTGAAATTCTTAATTTTTTTTTTTTTTTTTTTTTTTTTTTTTTTTTTTTAGCGAGATTCCATCCCCTGTTCAAAAGCCGACTTATCGCTCTTTGTTCCAGAAAAAAGAACACGGTCCACAACTCGAGAAGTTCCCGCAACTCGTAAGCCGGGGGAGAGTCACTTTTTTTTCTTTCGAATTTGAATAAGGGGGAAAATCCTATCTCTGGCTTCACGTGAAGCAATTTTTAAAATTTTGGCTTCTTAGAAATGAAGACCGCCTCCAAATCCACCTTTGGCTCGAATTAGTTATAAATTAATCTCTATCCATTCAAATCCTTCCTTGAACTCCCTTCATACAACGAAAAAATTATAACTTACAAGGATTTTTTTCCAAGAAAAGAAGTCTAACCCCTCCAATGGTGCCAAACCCTAGTTTTAAGCAAAGTTTCAAGGAATGTTTTCAACCATACTTCTGTTAGAGCAGTGACACAAGGAGAATAGAAGAAATCAGAAAGTTTCCACTTAAAACGAAGCCGAAATTTCCCACATATTAACTCGATCGAAACATGTATTTAGTATTGAAAGTTAAAGAAGAGTATCAGTAGCTGTCCGCTGCAGTTGTGTTTAGTAATGAAAGTTAAAGAAGAGTATCAGTAGCTGGCCGCTGCAGTTGTGTTTAGTATTGAAAGTTAAAGAAGAGTATCAGTAGCTGTCCGCTGCAGTTGTGTTTAATATTGAAAGTTAGAGAAGAGTATCAGTAGCTCTCCGCTGCAGTCGCGCCAGTCGTTGAACCTGACTGGGTGGCAGCCCAGAAAAAAGTCGGTGCTGTCCTCTTTCAACTACTGGAAGTTGAGTCGAAAAGACAGATAGTGGACTTTTAGCTGAAAATATTCATTAGACAAATAGGTTACGCATATTTGGAGCAATCTTAATTATTATTTTTAATTACATGTGATTTTCGAACTTCCTATTGAGTAAATAGTTCTTATTCAATATATTGTCTGTGTATCACGTCAAATTATCATAAAACTTGTCATAAATTTACAAAGATTCTTCTCCCTTCGTTAGCCCATTTTCGTCTTATGGAAGAGTTGTCATGGATTATTAAACGCAATTACTTATGTTTGATTACCTTGTCCACCAAGGTTCACTTTGTCGGAAAGAAAGCAATAATACTTTTGCTTATGGAAAACCATTTTAACTTCTAATTCTATCAAACACTGATATACTTATGAGACCTTAATTATTTGAAAAATAGGTTACGCATATCTGAAGCAGTGTTAATGCTTAAATTTCTGATCACATCTGATTTTCATACTTCCTTTTGAGTAAATATTTCTAATTCAATATATTGTCTGCAGTGTCACGTCAAATTATCATAAAATAATAAATTTACAAAGATTCTGCTTCCTTCGTTGACACGTTTCCATCTAATATATTCAGAAAATAGAAAGAGTCATTGATTATAAAATCTTGCAGATGGCACAAAAAAAAACTGTTATTATGAACATCGTTTCCTACATCTTACTTATCAAAGGAGACAAAGACTGGTATTGTCATTTTATTGTCCTAAGTTTCATCTAGAAGAAATATTTACATAAAATTCTTAGTGATTGTTGATTCTAAAGAAATATTTGTTATTCTTTTTATTCTGAATTATGTATGCAGAGATATGGATATAATTCCAAATATGACGTCAGTAATGGCGCAATATTATTGCTGCGAATTTTATTCTATTGTAAGACAAGTTACAGCAATTCGGGACGTAAATTATAAAATCTGCGTTTCTAAAATGAGGCGCTACCTAAACACAACATACACTTTTTGTTTCACGTTCTTTTGCAATCTATTCTAGAAAATTCACGAAATTCATTTTGATTTGTAGCTACTAGACTCGTGTATATAAGGTAAAAAATTCTAAAGCTAATAGAACCATTATTTACAGAGTAGCGAGATATGGCTAACCAAATTGTGCTCGGAATTTTCTTTTTAGTCTTCGTTGTAGTAGGCATGGTAAGAAATTATTCTTTATACATTCTATTTGCACCAATCGTTGCGTTATTGAATAGCAGTAGCAGTTTTATCAGCGTTTGGTTATATTGTAATTGTTCGCAGTTTTGTAATATTGTTATTAGCTCTAAACAATCAGAAAACTCAGATAAATTTTTATTCTTAGTGGTCTAAAACCAGCAGATATTTCAAAAGTTTTTATCTTTGTAACACAAACGCGTTGAGGCTATGGCCTGCGATGAAGAATCAATGAAAACGCAAAATTAATATATGATAAATTAAATCTTAATGTAAAAGACGCTAAAAATATTTAGAAAACAAAATTTCGAGATTTGCCTGATGTAGTTAAATATAATTTACCTCGTATATTAGAGAATTTATTCAGCTATCACAAAGCATAGCCGTAATACTCTGCTTCGAAATAACTAAATAAATACAAGTAAATGTGCACATATTAAAATTTCTAAACAAAACTTGAAACAGAATTCCATCGAGCTGAATTTTATATATCTTATCATATTAAATATTAATTCAATGGTCATTCTGATATCAAATTTGAAATTTTCTTGCTGCTGTACGCAGTTCTGAGTAAGTTAGTAAAGTTAAAAAAATTTACTTCTAAATACTTGAATATCATCAAAATCCAGATTTAATTAAAACCTCTTATCTCATATTATATTATTATATCTTCGAGCTCATATTATTATATTCGAGCTTATTATCTCATATTATTATATCTTCGAGCTCATAATTCTATAAGCTGTTTATTAAAGAAAAATTTCTACATTTAGGAAGACTAAAAACATATATGCGCATTACTTTTGAATATTTTATTGTTGTTGATTAGATATCAGGTGTACAGCCATTGAAAAAACATCATGAATATTCATGAGAGGAATATGATAATGAACTCGACATTAGTAAAAGTTCTTTGAATATTAATAGTGACAAAACAAACTTTGCTCAATTTCTCCTCAACCCCCCCCCATTTTTTTAAAGTGCCAGATGATGGGAATTCCAATGTCTCTTCTAGCACCGTCCTAAACAGTCGTGGTCTTCTTCTTCTTCTAACACCACCCTCTCGAAAGAACTTCTATTATACTAAGTAGAAAAAATACATAGGAATTTAGCGGCGTCTCCATGGCAGCTAGCGTTAAATGGCGTAGATAATTCTAATGCAGTAGCTTTAAAGATCAATATTTTAGCGTGTTAGTCATTATCACAAGTTATCTTACAAAATATAATCCACCATCTGCCATGTTTATGATGCAACCACTATACTGCCTAGTTCCTCTGTTTTCTATAATTACATCTTGTTTAATTACTACAAATTTAACACTGGTCTCCATGCAACTGCACTACTTTAGGTGCATATTGCTTTATTTTATGTAACTTATTTACTTATTTTTAGCCCAAAGAGCGTTAGCCGGGAAGAGCTACTAATTTCGTCCTGGAATTTTGGGTCGAAAACTTTAAAAGTCTGAATCCCTTTTCAAATTGTTGTCACCAAATATTATCGCGCTGTATTATATTTAAATAAATTAAATAACGAAGAATCTGCATAAATAAATGTATGTTTCTCGCACTATGAAAACACAACGGTAACTAGAGCCATCAAATTTTGAATAACCTACGTCTCCATAAGAATATGGGCATCTGGAAGCCACAATTTGGAATTTTATTATCTATTTCATATTTTGTAATGCGTTTACGAGTTTTCGATTAACAAACTCAACAGTTTCCAAATGAGCAATGGTAACACTGTACGGACCAAAAGAAAAAAAATATTTATCTCTAGCGCGCAAGACTGTGTATCGGAAATTCTCAACATATGCTCTTTTAAAACTTTTTAAATTATTTTGCGATATTGCTGTTGAATTGAATTTTATGGTTTAAGTGCGAATAACATGATATTTAATAAATAAAGGTAACACACAAAAGGTTAAAAAAAGCCCCTTTGGGTGTAATATAAAATCTGAAAACTTTCAGACTTTTTCCCCTTCAATTTTTTTATTATTTTTTGATTTAATTTATTTATGACAATTATTATTATTATTGTTTTACTTATTTATTTTATGCATTCTTGTACTTATTTATTTAAGTGTGTTGCATCTGCTCAACCACCCTTCCGACAATTAATTTTTAGAAATTTGTCACAGTTTTGTTCAACCGTTTACCCTACATTTGACAGTTAATGTATATATGCATTCGGCAAACACTCTTTTATAAATATATGCAATCCAAGCATTGCGTCAAAGAACTTCTAGCAGAACTCCTAGACTTTCTTTGATCTGTTACAGATAATTATATCAGAGGAGCTTTTCGGCCGATATGCTTATGCAAATTTTATCGACTGTTTATTGGCGAGAAAAAAAGAAAGAATATAATCCTCTTTCAAAAGCCTAATCTTTCAAAGATACGTAAACGCAGAGTAATAAAGATTTTTGGTATTATTTTATATACAACTTCATAAATCATACATGCATGGCAGATTTTTTTTCATCTGTTGCATATATGTAACATAAGTATTTGCATATATGGTAAATATATAAAAAAAAAAAAAAAAACAAATGAATAAGTTTTAATCCAATATCCAATTATGAGCTGTAAGCTGCATAACTGGTGGTAATATTGATGAATTAAATAAATAATTATTTAAATACAATACATATTCAACCTGGAGTAAGGAACTAACAAAAACTGCAATAAAGCACTGTGAAAAAAATAGATCAAATAAGCGTATCCAGCATTGTAAAACATCAATTGCATAAATTTAAAAGGAAGACAAAAAATTAAGTATAAAAATCATAAAAGTAGTAAAAACAACTATACAGAGTATAGTTTACTTAATTTTATTGAATAGTTTTTGTTTAATTCTGACTTTTTGTTTTAATTTTTATTCGAGTACTTCCTGTTGTAAAGTTGACCCTCTTTCATGATTTATTTTTGATTTAATTATAATCTCTTGCATGACCCCTTTTTTGGGGATGAGGAGCGCAGAATGTGTTGAATTTTGTACTATTATATACTAATTACTGCTTTTATTATCTATAATTGTTTGACTAACTAGCATAAATTTATTTTTGAAGTTCATTCTTCTCGAAAGAGCTCCAAATATTTGATATTTCGATTGCGGAATACTTCACTTTCAGAAAAATACATGCAGTTCATAATGCTATTAAATGCTAACACAGTCTTATGCTTTATATTGTTGGATCACTGCATTCTAATAGATATATTACTTTTACATGAAGCATTATATACATTTAGTGTATGGAAATTTCCTGTTATGTTTTTACCACCAATCCTCGAATTCCATATCACAGATTATGTTCTTACTGCATTAATATAATATTAACAAGACATAGCGCACAATAAAAATTAAGCTTTATTTAGGAACTTCGCGCACACTGCCCGACAGCCTGCCTGTTTCGCTCTGCTCGCTACTCGTAAGAAACTTCTCCTCTAGGGTTGCCACACTTATCGGAGGGCGCAAGGCGCGCTCCTTATCGCCATCACCACAGAGTTTCCCCCCAGTTCCTTTAATGGCTATTCAAAGGAACGACATAGGTTATGAAATTATCTCAGAGTATCCGAACTGTCGGGTATTTTTACATGATTACAAAATTAGAATATAAAATTAGAAAAGATCAAAATGAAATTCAATATATAACAAGGTATTGACACATATAATAAACATGAAATAACAAGAAATATGTTAAGATATGAATTTAAAAAAAATGTTTTAAATTGTTATGTAAGAAGCAAGTTTCTTAGGGAAGTGAACATATCTTCCCGATCTGGTGACAGTTTGTGTCTTAGAGAGTTCGTTTGCAGATTTATTCTGCTGAACTGTCTTTATTTGTTTTTAGTTCAGGCAAATTAGAGTCCGAAAGCAAATAGGCTGGTTCACGGTCTATAGACACAGTAGATTTCAGACCGTTAACATCTATTGTGAAAGTTTTGTCCGTTCTAGAAAGGACTTTATGCGGACCTGTGTATGGTTGGCACAGAGGTGGCTTTACTCGATCGACACGTAAGTATACATACGTACACGACTTTAAGGTAGCACTTACGTAACATTTTTCTTGGCAATGTGCAGATGTTGCTATTGGATTCAACTGTTGCATTCTATGCCGAAGATTCGTGATAAATTGTGTGTCATACGGAGATATCTTAGATGACGTTATCATATCACTAGGCAGCTTGAGAGTTGTGCCGTACACCAGTTCAGCACAAGATGACTGTAGATCTTCCTTTACGGCTGTCCGAATACCAAGCATAACAACTGGTAGTGTTTCAGTCCAGTTATTGGTCTCGTGAGCCTTGAGAGAAGATTTTAAATGTCGATGAAATCGTTCAACAATGCCATTGGACATTGGATGATAGGCTGTTGTTGTGATTCTGTTCGTACCCAAAATTCTGCAAAAAGTGCGGATCTCATTTGAGAACCTTGGTCTGTTGTTATGATCGATGGGCAGCCAAAACGAGATATCCAACAGTTGAAGATGGCTCTGCAAATGGTTTCCGTTTTCATATCCGGGATGGGAATGGCTTCAGGCCATCTGGAGAATCTATCTATTAGAGTCAAAAGGTACACGTTGCCTTCTGATGGAGGTAACGGTCCGACGATATCCATATGGATTCTGAAAAAATTTCTGAAAACGTGCATCAGGAAGAGAGAATGTGCCCAGTGGTGCTTTAGTATGCCTAGTAATTTTCGATTTTTGGCAAGATTCACAGGATTTCACCCAATTTTTGATATGACGTTTCATATCGGGCCATACATAACGAGAACAAATAAGCTTCGTAGTAGCTGCAATTCCTGGATGTGACAGATTATGCAGATGATTAAGATGAGTCTGCGAAAGGAATTCGGAACAAATGGACGAGGAATGTCTGTTGATATGTCACAAAGAATATTACCATCAGAATATTGGCACGGTTTAAATTCCAGTTTCAAAGATGATGTGTTGTTTTTGAGAAGGTCTTGTACCTCCGGATCATGCCGTTGAGCTTCCGAAAATTTTTTAAAATCCAAAAATGGAGATTTTGTTATGGAATCAATTTCGATTCTTGAAAGAGCGTCAGCAACGACGTTTTTTGAACCTTGCACATGCCTAATATCAGTAGAGTACTGAGAAATAAAATCTAAATGGCGCAATGTCGAGGTGAACATTTATGAGGGTTCTGTTTAAAAGCGTATATTAACGGTTTTTGATCCGTATAAATTATAAATTTCTGCCCTCTAACATGTGTCGGAATTTCTTAATTTGCAGAATAAATTAGAAAATAATTCCCTATCGTACGCGGACCATTTCTGTTGACTTTTACTGAGTTTCATAGAGAAAAATGCTATAGGTTTCCCATGTTTGTTGAGACAACTGCAAAGTGTGCCGCCGATTGCGACGTCTGAGGCATCTACCCAGATGCTTAGCTGGGCTCCGGGAATAGGGTGTCTCAAAAGGGTAGCCTGAGCAATGGCATTTTTGGCAGCAATAAAGGCTTGTTCAGCATTCTCGTTCCAATTTAATTGTGGGGGATGAATCCTGAACACGAGAACGAGATTTCTTTTTATTAATATAGCCTTCTAACAATTTTATTAAAGGAGAAAGAATATGTGCTGCTTTAGGTATGAAACATCTATAAAAGTTAAACATTGCCTAAAAATCGGCGAAGCTGAGTGAGAGTGGTAGGTTGAGGAAAATCTAAAATACATTTGACTTTGTCAGGAAGAGGTTTCAATTCCGTTTTCACTAAGGTGAAAACCTAAGAAATCAATAGACATTTGACCAAAGGTGCATTTTGAAACATTTATGCAAAGTCCATATTTCCTGAAGTTTGGAAAATAAAGCTTCAAATGCCTGCAATGTTTCCTCAGAATCTTTAGAGGCTATGAGCAAGTCATCGACAAAAGCGTAAACGCCTTCTAAATCCCGCGTGACTTCATCTATAAAACGTTGAAAAGTCGCAGATGCATTGCATAAGCCGAATTGCATACGGATACTTTCGAATAAACCGAATGGTGTGCATATGGCGGTTTTGTGGATGTCGGCTGGGTTAATTGGTATTTGATGGTATGCCTTAATCAGGTCGACATGACTAAAAATTTTAGTACCGTGCAATGCAGCAGTAAAATCGGCTAAGCATGGAATAGGGTATTTGTCTTTTATTGTTTGAGCGTTCAATGCTCGATAATCTCCTACAGGTCTCCATTCCAGACTTCTCTTTTTTGGAACCATGTGAAGTGGGGATGCATAATTGCTGCTCGAAGGTCTCAAATGCCCCAATTGCATCATAGTTTGAAATTCTTGTTTTGCTATTTTTAAGCGATCTGGAGCTAACCGACGAGGTTTTGCAACCACAGGTGGACCTTTAGTTATGATATAATGAACGGTGTTATGTTTAACAGGTTGGTTAGGATCTGGTAAATCTAGTAATTGAAGGAAAATTCTTTTAAAATTTTGTGATATGGTGTATCACCTAAATACACAGTTTTTACTGAATAAATGCTGCATTTTTCACGCAACCGACGGTTTTAAAATGCGTTTTTAAATCTTTGAGACATTTGTTTCTGAGATCAGGCACCAATTCAAAAGAAATGGAGAAAATCTGCTCCAAGAATGGGTGTACTAACATTTGCTATAAGAAAAGTCCATGTAAACTGTCGTCTTAATTTGAAATCCAAAGAAAGTGTTTTTTGACCATAAACATGAAATAGTTAGAAGAATTAGCAGCGAAAAGTGTTTGTTGGGACGAATTCCCGTTTTTGAGAATTATTTGCTGGAAGTAAGGACACGTCAGAGCCGGTATCGACCAAGAATGAAAGGTTTGTTCTACGGTCACGAACGAACAGGCGACGTGAAACTTGAGGCAAAGAATAAGTCGCCTCTATTCTTTGCTGGTTTCGTTTCCCTGCCATGAACAAGGTTTTGTACATTTGTCATCTCTACACTTTTTCCCAAAACGTCTATGATACCAGCAAACAGAATAATCTCTCCTTTTGGAATTGCTTCTTTCCTTATTGCGATCTCCGCGATTTGGCGAGCGACCACGAGAAAGAGAAATGCGATCAATACGTTTGTTTAATTTTTCTATTTGTTTAAATAATTTATCCTCAAGAGACTGATCGACTGTGCGAGAAACGGCACAAGTCCCTGGTGTTGGATTTACTTCTAAAATTCTGTCGGCAATTTCTGCAGCTTTATCTACAGTTAAATTGGAAACCGCTGCCAAAATAGACTGAACAGTCGAAGGCAAACGTTGAAGGAATAATTCTAACATTAAGTTATCAGGAACATTTAAAGATTCTGCTCGACGTTTCATATTTCTAAGCAAATCGGAAGGTTTTCGAGAACCTAATTCCTTCTCCAGATAATAATTGGCGAATTTCTTGCTGAGAAGATTCTCCTGAACGATTTATTAACTCAGTTTTAAGCTTTGCATATGGATCAATAGGGTCTGGTTTCATAAGTAATCCCGTACTAGTGATGCGATATCTGGAGGAAGATGAGAAACTACATAATTATATTTAGTAATGGATTCTGTGATAGGTTTGGGGGTGGCAAGAGCAAAAGTACTTTCACACATAATAAACCATAAAGATGGGTCTGATCGGTTATAAACCGGAATTTGGACGGCATGAACATCAGACACTGTGCAAGGTTTTTTAAGCCAAAATAAAAGCAAAAATTTAACTAAAGAAAATTGAAATTAAATGATAAGTAGGAAAACAGAATTATAAAATGATCTATAATTACTACTCATCTGTGATTCGGAGGATGAAAAACCGATGTAATCCATTACTTCTGGTTTGGAGATCTTGAGTGATGGCTTGTAGTCAAAACCGAAAGTGCTTGAGAACTGTTCATACGCCTGATTTACACAGTCCAGGTTACCATTATGGAAATTCCTATCATGTTGTTACCTGTATTTTTACCACCAATCCTCGAATTCCATATCACAGATTATGTTCTTACTGCATTAATATAATATTAACAAGACATAGTGCACAATAAAAATTAAGCTTTATTTAGGAACTTCGCGCACACTGCCCGACAGCCTGCCTGTTTCGCTCTGCTCGCTACTCGTAAGAAACGTCTCCTCTAGGGTTGCCACACTTATCGGAGGGCGCAAGGCGCGCTCCTTATCGCCATCACCACAAGTGTAATAACAAACTTCCATGCCTAAAATATGAGAAAAATATCTAGCAATCTTTATTTTCTAATATTCTTTAAAAAAATGACTACCATTTACTTCAAACCAAATTTTTTTTAAGATAACTTGAATGGTCATTTTTCAATACTGCAATTAGTTAATAAAGAAATTCCTTCTGTACCTCTATAGGCAGCAACGGGTCGTTCGAGCAAAACATGCACCTCCCAGGAAGACTGTGATCCATTCTGGGAGTGCTGCGCCAAACGGATTTTCACCAACACGTCTTACTGTGTGAAACGTCGCCTTATGAGTAAGTACAAAACATTTTTTGTCATAAGCGTGTAAAAAATCTTCATTACATTTAAAACCTGTATTAAAATAAAAAGTAATGTGTAAACTTTATAAACGATCAGCATACAATTATTAAAATAAATGCAACATAAATAAAATTGAAAAGGCTTTGGTGATAAAGAATAATAACAACTGAAATAAAATGGAAACTCGGTTTACAAAGTTAATACATTTTTTGAATGCGGCTCGTAATCCGAAATATTCGTAAAACGAAACTATTTTCCCATAGCAAGTGATGTAAAATGGGTTAGTCCATTTCTGGTCTACAGATGATAGATTATTTAAAACTAAAAAGCCCGACGGTCATGCGAAATGACCGCTGTTCTAGATATTATAAATTGTAATTAAAATGATTTGTGGAAAAGTGTCCGCTAATTCAAACTGAATTACCCAGGGCAGGCGGCGAGGACGCCTTTTTGCTTACTGCCCCGCAGGGTTTCCCCCCGTCTACTTGCTTAATTTCTTAAAGTAGAGTGCAATGAAGGAAACCACTGGCGGTACATTTCTTAAAAGCCTCCGCTAGCTCAATAAATAAAGGTGATTTAAATAATAAAATGTTAATTCACATGTCAAAAATCTCTTTGTACACAACATTTCTTGTGTAGATCTTTCCACTACTTTTAAGCTCGCCTTGCAGAGGACCATCCATTATTTTTAATTTTACGTCCATCCATTATTTTCAATTTCACGAACTCTTGAACAGGCAACATAAAGTTGATCGTGTCCAAACGTGGTCTCGTTTCTCGAAGGTCACGGTCCAAATGCAGGCTCAGGTAAAAAAATGCCAACGCACTTAAGCGTTTGGCCCTGAGACTTATGGATAGTCATAGGAAAGGCAAGTTTTACAGGAAATTGTCTAAGTCTCAATTGAAACGGCAACCCTGTGCCGTAGCAACTTCACCCCATTGGATAGAACAGTTACGCAGGCAACTAATAAACTATCGACGAGAAACAGACACTTAAGCCACATATAATAAAGATATTTATTTCATTTTATTTGTTTTTTCATCGTTGCCGGTTTTTGCCGGTTGCATATTTCCGAATTCTGTTATATATAGATTTTAAATTTATTTATTAAATGTTAAAGGCACGTGCTCTTGTATTTTTAATTTTTCCGGCTTATCTTTCTCATAACATTCGTCACGCGCTGCACTGCACGGGAATAAAACAATTTACAGTTACGCAAGCAACCAATAAACTATCGCCGACAAACACTTAAGCAACATATACATAAGAATCATTAAATCTAAGGCCAAAGCAGGTAAACACAGTATACAATATTAAACTTATAAAAGAGACGAAAGTTTGATTCAGTTCTCCTGTACACTTACGAAAACGATGAACGGCAGAAATGGAAAGTGATGAGGAAGAGATATTATAGTTTCAATGAAAAATCGTCATCCATAAAAAACATCAAATATTTGTCTTTCTTCAGGTACCTTTTCTTTATCTTTCCTTTGTCTCTTAGCGCTATTCGACTCACCACATATCAATTTCACTCATTTTATTCAATAAAATTCATTGTTGCTACGTTTTAAAATATTTGCAATGTGAAACATGGCACTGCCACTGAAATTGCTTTACTGTAGCTTACTATTGTTTTAGCAAAACCAAGTCACGGGGATCTCCATTTGTATCGAATAGAATTTGATCTGAAAATAAAAGAATACATTCTTTCAAGGTGTTAAAAATTGTGCTTATTTTCATCATATTTTCTATATGTTTAGTAACACAAACTTCGCATCTCAAAGTATGATGCATTTATTGAATTTAACCATGAAGGTTAGAACAGCCTATTTTAACCTCCATGAATTTAGCTTTATCAGGTCTAGAATGAACTTGCAATGTTACATTGCATTCGTAATACTAATATCACGTCATTCAAAATACACTAATTAAATCATTGTAATACTTATAATACTTATATGATAATGCATATATCCAAGAGTTTTTATTCGTTCTTTACTACGTTCGTTAAAGCAAAATCGTTTACCTGTCGTTGAAAATTACCAAATAATTTTCCCTTTAAATTAGCAACCACATTTAGGAACTTTCACAGCTGGTATCGAAGTGTTTCTCAAGGGATGTCACTGATGGGAAAAGTACTCTTTAAGAGTACACAGATATAAAAAACAGAGGTTGCCATTTAGCTCAATTTTAAATAGACAGATTTCTGTCTTTAATTTTGGTTAAAGAATTAGCTACTCCAAAAATAAATTTTCAACATAAAAAAACAAGCTTTCAACTGAAAGGATTTGCTTAAATAAACGTCCGTAATTAACAAAATATATTATAAAGAAACTCTTCAATCTAGAATTCAAAATTAGGCAATACATAATTAGACTCATTGCCTTCACCTTCTTTACCTTCATCATTATTTCACCTTCTTTTAATACGTTTTAACACTCTTAGTTTAATTAGCTAGACATATAAATATTTTCTCATATACAGAATTTTGTATTTCGAAGTAATGTATGTAAATTATTTTTTGTTTCAGATCAATTTTGTATGGAAAGGGAATACTTCGTGAACGGTGTTTATGACATAACATGTCCCTGTGTATCCACCTTGAAATGCGTAAAAGATTCGTATTTTTCAGATGAAGGGGTAAGTAATTTATGCATGAAAGAAACTATTTTCATTTAAAGGAAAAAGCTTCCTCTTTCATGAACGCAATAAAGTAATAAATATGTTTCAGTGCATATTTGTTATTGTGTAACTCTAAGTGCCTTATTTATTTTTAACCGGTGTTTCTTTCTTTATTGTCTTTGTTTAATGGATTGTTTCACATTTGAATTCAAAGCGTTAAATGTAAGACTCAATTACTAATCAAACTGGGGAATGGAAATTTAATGAAAAAAAAAGCTAATGTTAAGTATTTTTTGTTCGTTGATTTTAAAATAATCAATAAAAAATTTAGCTTTCAAAAACGCATTTCTTTTGAGTACCGTATACCGTATAATGTCCGCGCTCATTTTATGTAAAAATCAATTGACCCGCACGATGTCTGCACCTCAAAAACAAAAGAATTTCTTACTTTAAAATATATTTTTTTAACATCGCGTTTTCTTTAGTCAATAAACATCTTTAAAGAAAGAATATACATTTTCCTTGTCTATGGTTGGTGCCAGGATGGAAAGCAGAGACTTTCCTTGCATTTTGGTGCAGCTTTCAGTCATAACATCGGCGCCAGCAATCCACTCGGCAGACATGATAATAAATGATGGCAGTCCAAACCATGGAGGTAGGAAGTTGGTCCTTTCTTACATCCATGGTCCAAACAGATTTTCACCTCACTGGCTTCCAGGAAATACTGTTTTCTAATGAAATTACTTTCCTCTCCTTCTTCCGTGAGGCATTCGCATATTTCAAGCTTTCTCTTTTTATTCATAGTATCATTTGAAATTCGTGGTAGTTAGCTTTTAAACTGAAACTCGTAGAATATTCGTAGGAAAATGGAAAAAGAGCAGCAGCAAAAGTATATAAGGTGAACGAAAAAAAGTGTGTGCGCAATTGGAGCAAACAGCGTGATCAACAGGCGGCAACAAACAAAACAAGACGTGCGTTTCGTGATTCGAAATGTAAGTTTCCGAACTTCGGAAAAAACGTATTTGCGTATGTTCGTGATATGTGCGCTCAAGGATACGCAGTAACACGGGAAATCTTCCAAATAACAACGCTTGCTGCGGCACGAGAAGTCATTCCTACATCGCAAATCAAAGCGAGTGAAGGCTGGTTGCGGCGAATGATGAATGGATTATCATACAGTACGTCAGAACACATTTTTTTTTAAATAATGTGTGCAAGATATTAAAAGAACCAACGTTTATTTAATTTGTATAAAGATAAGTGTTAAAATTGCAAGTGTTGGTTAATTTGTGCGTCTATACTGTGCTCCTGTGCGAACTAATACGCGCCGAGTGTTGATAACGTAAACGGGATAATTTATATTATATACGTAAATGGAAGAAAATGAGTTTGTAAATTTTAGGTAGCTGTTAGACAACTTTAAATTTGATACTTTTATTACTCATGCCATTTACTTCCACTTAGAACTTAATTTGGCTGTTTGAAATGAAATTTACACCCAAAATTACTGGCGAGAAAAAACGCCACATTTGAACGACCCGTGTAATGTCCGCACTTGCATTTTAGTGATGTAATTTTAATAAGTGCGTACATTACATGAGCGTATACGGTAATATGAATCTACATATTCGAATTAATCCTATCTGGGTATTTGGATAATTAAAGTTACCTTTTTTCTCCACGCCTTATTGCTCTTTTACTATAATATGATAGTGTTTTTTACCTTCGTTCCGTTTATAGTATTTTATTTAAAATCGAAAATAACTGTGCAATTTGCGTTATGCACCAGCAACTGATCTGCATAATCAAGATTGTATTGATTACAAAAAATTATAAATAAAATTGCCAATTAATTGTTTATTAATATAAAGCTACTTCGAACAGTGAGAAAGAAATAATATAAAAAAATATTAGGAAAAAATAGAAAAGTTATTTAACATATTTTTTGAATGAATAATATTTTTATGTATTTATGCAAGAAAGGCACTATAAAAACGTAAAATATAAGGACACAAGAAAACACAATAAAAAAAATCTGATGTGTACACCACATGGCTTGCTTGTACGGAATATTAAATTATACGCATTTTTTCTTACATTTCATTTAAAATTATTGGATTGTATTAAATCTACTTCGCCGACAGCGCATAAACCACAATAGAATAAACGCATTCTTTAAAATTCACTCTAGTATTTGTTTACCCTAGCGACACTCTGGCGCTAGATTCACTTAACAGTATTATATTTCGTTCATATTATAACTCATAATGCACAAAATTTATATCATTTAAAGAACAGAATTATCTAATCGTTGCCACATGTTCTATTCAAATACTATAATAAAGCTAGAATGATATATAAAAGAAATTAAGCAAACAAAACAAAAAAGAAACAGTTTTTCACAGACGATTGAGTATTTCTCATTAAATTAATTCAGTTCTCACTTCGCGAGAAGGCAAAAATTCAAAATATTTATATTTGTGAAGCTAAGTTTCTCTAGATTGGCAACAAATCCACTAGTCTGCTGTTTCAAATGTAAACAATCAATGGCCGCAGTCAAAAAAAAAAAAAAAAATCTTAGCGGCACTTAAACAACTTTAAAATTGTTGATAATTCTAAAAATATTGCACACAGATTTACTAAAGGCATAAAAACCTTAACCGGAAGATAAAAACCACATAATTAAATCTTTTTTAAAGCAAAAAATGTACAATTTACAATCATATAAGAGTAAAGAAACTGAGATCACTGAGCCGGGTAACAGAGTGGATATATATATAAATATATTTATATACGCTTGGTGCGGCCGATTGTAACCAAAATACGAGGTGCACATCTACATGTTATAGCAGTCCTATATACAAAATTTCAACGTTCTGAGGCTACTCGTTTTTGAGTTATGCGAGATACGTACGTACATACGTTCGTATAGACGCCACGAAAAATTCTCTTCAGAATTAATTTTAAAGCAGTTTTATAATTTTTTTGGAGGAAACGAGTCTTTTGTTCTGTTCTTACGTACAGATATCACGGAAAAACATCGTTAATTATGCATTCGATAGCGATCAAAATGGATATTTTCGTTGAAATATGCTGCCTGAAACTTTTCGCGATTACAATACTTCCTTTTTACTTCGTACAAGGAATTAAAAATAAAGAAAAAAATGCAGAACTTCCTTAGAATATGTGTTTTTATACACAAGCCACTAGCAAAATGAAGAAGGATAGTTTAATACTCGCTACTAAGTCACTGAAAATTTAAATATGCTAGCATGGCTCAAAGAACTGGGATATTTGATCTCGATATTTTGATGTGAGAAGAGTTGATTGCATTTAAGGACAGTGTTCAAGTACAAACCTAACACAAAACAGGCGGGTACACTAAGTTTTGTAATTTAAGAGTCATCCGAGAGAAATATTCCAAATGAAAATTGCTACTGAACAAGCCTTATTTACTTTTCTCTCTTCTTAGTCAGCAGAAGCAGGCTTCAACGAAGTCATTGATTTACTACGGAAAATAATAAACAGGTTGAATGTTTTTGAACAAGATGATTGAAGAAGTTAACCAGTTTTACGTAATATAAAAAAGGCATATATACATCAATTGCAGTCATCACATTAATTAAAATCGAACTTCTGTGCAATTAGAATTTGTGATTTTGTTTCTGAAATCATATTTATAAAATTAAAAATAATATTACAAAAAATAATAAAACATATTATTATAAAAATAATAAAGCATGTAATATTTCACAAAATAATAAAGCATGTAATATTTCACAAAATAATAAAGCATGTAATTTCACAAAATAATAAAGCATAAATCTAAAATTTTTTTCAAAAAATCACAATCGCACAAAAGTTCGATTTTAATTATTGTGATGACTACCCTTGATGTTTTGAAGCAATTGTTTAATATTTAGCATAAAATTCCTTAACTTAAATCCCGTCATTCAAATATCCAGCCTCTTTCTAATTCTCCATGGTAAATTGTCCATAGTAAAGACTGAGTAAATTTCATAGTAATGACTGAAACTTTCCTCCACTAGGTAAGAAGAGTGGAAAATCGATAATGTTGGTTCATTGACAATTTTTATTTTATGACATTTCTCTTAGATAACTTTAGATTCTAAAAACTTACTAAACCCATGGGTTTTGAATAAGACTTGGGGTTGAACGTCCTCTTTCAATGCAGTCAACTCTTCTTGCATCATAATAACAAGACAAATGTATCGCGCTATTCAGCGATTCTATCAGCCATGCTGGTACATTCAAATTTCTAATGTCTTGCCAGCGAACATTAAAATTTTCTTTCAAATTTTGCAAGTGGTTTATGTATAATAATATCTTCTGAGGAAATACATCCTTTTCATCCAAGTAGTGATTCCACAGCAGTCAACTCATTTTCTTATTTCTGAATTCTTCCGGTTAACAGTGCATCTGCAACTTCAGCTCCAATTAAGAACTTCTATTTTCAAATCCCTTCTTCCTACATTAGATGTATGGACATGTTTCTGCCTTAGTTCTCCTATCCGTGGTCCAAGCTGTACTGACTACAGGTCCACAAATCTTCGACTGTTCCAACAAGATTAGTCGTTTAGAAAAATCACCTTCTAGGCTTCTAACGTTCACTTCATAGCGCTTGTGAATTTCTCTCTTCGTTGTTACTCCCCCAAAAAGCGCATTAATTAAAGATTCAGATCCACTTGCGTGGAACCCTGTGTCTACAGCAGTCTCCTTTAATATGCATGAACGTTGCGATCCTGTGTCGACCCTTGAGAATTTATCTCAGGCTTTTATGGCCCAACTTTCTGTTGCTATTAATTTGGTTCAAGTTTCGGTTCGCCTGGTTCAAGTTTTGGTTATGATTAAGAAGACATGCATGAGCATTAGCACGCAAAAGTATCAATTTAGGAAGCAAGAGACCAATCACAGTTGGGTTTAATTTGAATAATAAAAAGGATGCTGGATAGTAAAGGAAAACACTTCTTCTGAATTATTAATATTAATTGTCATTATTAGATTTTTAGATTATCATCCTACTTGTATTTAATCTTCTGCCATCAATTATAGCATGAAATTTAATAAAAATATTTTTTGTTTTCAGACTTTCATAAAATCTTTTAACCCAAGATGTCGTCCACCAGATTATGTACCACCACCATTGGAAGAGAGAAGTCCTTATTCCGATATCAATGATTCTTCTTATTCGTTAAAGATGAGAAGAAGTACTAGAAGCAAAGCATAATTCTTACCAGCATGGATCAGTCTAATCTTAAACCCTAAAATGGAAATTCTTATACTCAAATATGCATATATGTATCTACCTGTAAAACCTGTAGTATTAATATTAAAGCATTTTTAAACAATTTTTTTCATTCTTTACAAATTCAATACATGAACGATTTCAGGATGCAACCATTGTATTAAAAATTGCATTTTCAGTGTACTCTCGATTAAGGATACGGATAACTGAAAAATACGGAATATCCAGACTATCAATTTTCATGCATATAAGATGTGTTTATTTCTTTAAAAAAATGAGTAATCTTAATTTTTTGCGGGGGGGAGGGTGGTAACGTTTAAATATTTATTGAACTTCATAGCGTATTTTTCGAGCTCTGGTCAACGAAATCAAACAACAGAGTTTCAATAGAAATCACTGTTGTCTCGGGGCTAATGTAATTGTCAGTATTTTCTTCGCTTGCATATGCAGTATCATTCTCTGCCTCTCTTGTTTCTTGGACATTCGAAACGATATCCTCATTCGTCAAGCATTGAAAGCCCTGCTTAGTCGAAACGCCATTTCGTTTTTCTATGTACTAAACAGTAAATCGTTTAGTGAGTTTTTTTTTTTTTTTTTTTTTTTTCCCTTATTACGTGCTAGGCACTACACGGAAAGGGAGGGATGCCCCGTGGAGGTCTTTTTAAGGGAAACTTTCTCGTATCCACGTTACACATGGAGAAAACTACGAAAACGCCCATGCAGCCAGCCCGTTCGCCCGAACTCGAACCCCGGGACGAACTACCAGTGTTCAGCGGCTTTTACCACTCGGCCGCTGGTGGGCAAACCGTTCAAGTTAAAGATTAAATTTAGAAGAGGCTTATAAACACCAATGATGAATTATTGATCATGGGCGTAGCCAGCTTCGTGGGTGGGTGGGGGGCATTTAGACTCCTACGGCTATCCTGTTCTACCTATTACAACATCTTCAAGTATATATATGATCATTACGTGACAAATATATTATGTTAATGACAGTTATCTTAATATAAGTAAGAATTATATTATGAATTTTATTAATGATAAAATTATGTAACATAATTATGGATATATCGCATTTCATTATCATATTTATAATTATTACCTTACAAACATACTAAATGCGTAATTCAATATTTTTGTTTTTAAATTAATTGAAAATTATATTAAAATATTAACAGAATTTGAAATTCATCTTCTTTGGTTTAATATACAATTATAAGATAAATAAAATATAAAATCCATATTTCTAATGTATATAATTATCTAATAAAGATATTGAATTGAATACATAAAAGGGTAAATACATCATTTATTTTGGACATGAAATTAAACTGCAAATATATATTTTTTTTAAAGGCAAACTTTTTTTTTTTTTTTTTTTTGGTCTTTCATTTTGGTTCGGCAATTAAAATATTCCCGAATTACATTTTCAGTGGCTATTAAACTGGCAAATATATCAATAATTTTGTAAATTGCTATTTCTTTGGTATAATGCATGTGCATTAATGCCAAAGAATTTCTTAGCTCTTAGTAGCTCTTAGTAGCTCTTTTCTTAGTAGCTCTATTATAATTGTCTAACTTTTTCAAAGCTCTTGCGGAACGGTCACATTCGCAAGATGTTATTGACAGTATAGATGTTATGTACAAAGCAAAAGCACATCAATATTTGGTAAAAAGATTTTATTTGAAGCTTTTAAAAGCAAAATTGGTGCGTCTGGCAGCTTTACATAAGGAATAGACATTAAAATGCCATCGCCAACGTTTCGTCTCTTCCTTTAGAAACTCCGGAAGAGGGTAAATTAGCTTTATGTATCACCTTCAACATATTTACACCAATTTCATTTACACGATCAGCACAAACTGATGGTTGTATGCAAAACAGAGATGATGCCTTCAATCGCGTAACTGGAACTTTAGGGCCCCTACGCAAAAAAAAAAAAAAAAAAAAAAATTCTTGCCCCCCAAAAAAAAATTTACAGTACAACCCCCCCTCCCCAAAAAAAAATTGAGGTTTCCAGAAGCCAAAATTTCGATAATGATTTTTATCAAATCAGGACTAATAGTTAAAAATCTGATATGAACACACATGACTTCCATGTATCACTTATTAAATAATGCACATTTTTTTCCTGCATTTCATTTAAAGTTATTTCCTCGAATAATTTTAACTTTATTAACCGATTCCTCAAAGCAAGCTGAAAATGACATCAAAAATTGCAAATTTTGAATTAAAGATCCCGGTTGTTAAATGTTCATATAAAGTGTCTTCTTTCCCTTGCTAGATGGCGCCAGAGGCTCCATTAGTGAGAGAAATTAAAACCTTGTTTTTTTTATTTATTATTTTTTTTGGGGGGGGGGTAAAGAGTAGATAGTTTGGTTTCGAATCCGTGTGATGGACGGATAAATTGTTTCGTACAGCCGTAAGAGAAAAGAGAGGCTGTACAAGAAAATGTATTTAAATATTAATTTTTTCCTTTTGAATGTTTTATGTAAATAAAATGTAATGTCAAGAAATTCAATTGTGGTTTTTCTGTAAAGAAGATTGCCAGCTAAAACTTACCATCACGGTTTAATCCTAGTATCCGGTGCACACGGGATTTGGCTACTTTTGGCGACTTTACGATGAGCAGTAAAAACGGGAAATATACGATGAGTAGTAAACGGGTCATTCAAAGAATATATATAGTTATATATAGTATATTATGTATATACACTCAGTATATATGTATAGTATATAGACGTTCTTTGGATCATTTTTGGTATTGGCGATAATTTTCAAATTCGCGCCAAGGCTGCCCCGTATGCATATAAGCAAAATGTACACTGTTAGGACAACGGCTTGAGTTTGGCCAATGACAATCCAGATAAGGGTCACCATTAACTCCGCCCACATGAGTGATGTCACATTTCTGACGTTTGTTTACATTCTGCTATTCGGCGTTAGGAAGTGCGTTGTTTGAATGAAAAACATTTTTACTTTGCAATGTAAATTTGTTCTAGTGATACTATTTTTAAAATTTTCCTTTAAAGTATTATTTCCTTACTGTTCCAGAAGGAATATAAATTTATGTCTCAAACTTTACAAAATTTCTCACTATATGCGTGAGTGTGTATACACACGCATGCACACATACATATATTTTCAATATATAATTAATCATATGTGAATTATATCTATCAATATGTGTGTGTTTATGCATATAAATATGAGTGAGTGTGTGTGTATGCGTGTATTCATTTTTCAGAATGTCAGATTTCTAGCAAATAATCTACAAAGCTTTTTTCTCTTAATTTTTCCCATCTTCACATTCAGTTTTTTTTTAAATAATTAAGATGATTGTATTCATATTTAATATTTCTGCACAACTTGATTTATCACTTAAAAATGCATTTATTTAATTTGGGATAAAGTGGGATGTTAATTCCAGTAGTATATGATTTTTAATAGTAGAATAATTTCTCTAAAGAAGCTTTTGTTTGTTTTTATTTTTTAATTCCTTTATAAGAAAATTACTTAATAATATTAGAAATAATTAATCTGTTACTCCTTACACATGTCTGAAATATGTTAACAGAAAATTTTCATTCAATAGCTTTATAAATTTATTTTATGCAGTATTTTAATTTAATAAGAACTAGTGTTGATAAGTGAATTTCCATTGCTTTCTTTATACATTTAGTTTAGAATTCAGTTTTCAGTGCATGTAATTATTCTCCTTCATGGCCCTCGACCCACCAGCAGCCGAGCGGTAAAGTCGCTGAAAAATGGTAGTTCGGTCCGAGGTTTGAATCCCGTGAATGGGCTGGCAGCATGGGTGTTTTCGTGGTTTTCCCCATGTGTAACATGTATACGAGCCAGTTTCCCTTAGAAAGTCCTCCACGAAGGCATCCCTCCCCTTTAGGCAGATAGCCTCTCGAGGCTTTGCCGTAATTAAATAACCTAACCTACCTAACCTTCATGGCCCTCCCCACACAGCCAAAACGCTGTGAGTGGTAAAGTGACTGGAACGCTGATAGTTCGATCTGAGTTTGATTCCAGTTGGACAGGCTGGCCGCATGAGCACTTACCTGGTTTTCCACATGTGTAACATGGATATGAGAGTTTCCCTTAGAAAATCCTCCACAAAGACATCCCTCCCACATAGACCTTGCATGCTTTCCATAATCAAACAAACCAAACCAACCCTCCAAGCAAAACAGCTCCTCAAAAGAAATTCTTCATATCTGTCAAGCAAATGACATTCGTTAATGTAATAAATTGTCATCATACACACTAAATCAAACTCGGAAGTTGTTATTAATTATGCTTACAGAAACAAAGTACTTAATACCAGATTTTGTTGATTAATTTGCATTTTTAGAAATAGTTGAATAAATTTCTGACCTTTAATAAATACAGTGAACCCTCTCTAAGATGACCACCAGCAGTTCTACATGATTTTAATTTTGTGTAAAGCTTGTCATTTCAAAAAGATGTTCAGTACCAGAATTTGTATATTGAGGAGAAGTAGTCAGTTTCAGAAGTGATGACAAAGAAAAGGTTTACTGTGTTAAAATGATAATCTGTTCCTAACTTTTTTGCAGGGTTTGATTTGGTTTATGTGATTTATAGCAATTTATAGCTCGAGGGCTATCTGCCTAAGCAGAGGGATGCCTTCATGGAGGACTTTCTAAGGGAAACTGGCTTGTATACACGTTACACATGGGGGAAAACCATGAAAACGTCCATGCAGCAGCCAGCCTGTTCGCGGGATTCGAACCTCAGACCGAACTACCAGTGTTCAGCGACTTAACCGCTTGACGCTGGTGGGCCCCTTTTTTTGCAGGGAAGGAAGTGTTTTCCAAGTGTAGGACATAACATATCTAAATAGTCCATGTTAAGATTTAATCTAGGAAATGAATAATGTTGAAGCTGAAATTAAAATTATATAAATTTGAATATCATGTAATGTTAATCTCAAATTTCGTTTCCTGTGATGTGATTTTTTTTAATGTAAAGATCAGGCTCTGGTATATTGATATATATATAAACTTTAAATATAGTATGAAGTCTTATATTTGAGTATAATACTGAAAAAGGTTCGACATATGAGAAAATAAATA